GGTTACGAAGATTTTGTGTTTTCATCTTGAATCACTGCCTTTTCCTCCACCAGATCATATCAAGGAGTTGGAAAGGGTTAGGCTTTGACAGGTATAGTTTAGGCCAGGTCTTTCAAACCATGATGTAAACATTATCATGATTCACCAGCATTTAAGGAATATAAAAGTACATAGCAGAAGTGGAATTAAGTACAGAAATATAGGGACAGTATATTTTTCTGATGTCTTTTCTGCCTCCTCCGAGAAGGAACTTGCACCCTTCAAGGATCTTATATATTTTAGGTGGAGCATCACCTTAATAAATATAAGTTAAAACATTTTGAAATACAGTTTGTAGTAACTCAGAGTTTGTTGAGGCAAAAGACTAATTTCAGGAAACTTATTTGAGCAGATGTGAGAAACTGTAATATTATACTTATTTTATAGTGTGGCGTAGTACCAACAAGGGCAACACTCACACACACACACACAAGGACTCAGCTGTGCTAAAAAACCCCACAGGGTTGTTTTAACAAATTTCTCTCTAGCGATTCAGCAGAAGGTGTGACTTTCTTTCTGTGTGGTAACAGCCCTTAGACAGCCTCCCTGCTTCTCTATAATCCAGAGTTGCTGATGGGCAGCAGTTGTGTCACAGCGCTCACAGCAGATGTGAGATTTCAAGGTTCTGCTATGCTCTGTTTTCCAGCTGCTGTCTGACGTGCTGAAACGGCACCAACAGGGCTGATCCCTGCTGTCGCTGTCCATGCTGCTGATCCTCTGCCCGCAGAGCACCACGGATCCCATGTGTCCTGAGGGTCCGTGTCCTTCTGAATAGTGTCACATTGACAGTACTAATAATTAAAAGTGTTAATGTTTACTATGATATATGTATTATGTCAATTTTTGAGCAACATTAAGAAAAGGTCACACATGAGGTTAAAGGAACAGTTCAACATTTTGGAAAATATGCTTATTAACCCTCTTGCCAAAAGTTGATGAGAAAGCCATACTACTATCATATCTCTGATATGGCCTGCAGCTACTTAGTTTAGCTTAGAATGTACTACTATGCTGGTAGGAGTTCTTCATATTTATTGTACAGACATGAGAGTAGTGTCCTCTAACATTAAGAAAGGTAATCCCCCCCAAAAAAAAAAAAAAAAGTTAACTTTCATTGTTGAGTAATAAGGATGTGGCACAACATGAGGAGCATGAGGCAGCCACAGATGTGATTTTTATTCAAGAGCACTATGAATTAATTCCTAGCCACACTTCAAACTGTCCTTCTTTCCTCCTTTTCTCCTTCTATTTTTCCTCCTCTGTGTCAAACATTTTGACTTATAGGTTTGTGTGTTCGATACTGCTTGTCTACCTAGTTTTCTTTAATTGTCTCAGCTCTCAGCAGGTAGTCTATCTACTTACTCCAGCTCTGCATGAGTTAGCATGCTTCCTTGATGGTGTAGCAGTAGACATAAACAATAGGTTAGTACAGGTCTAGGTTACTTTTCTTCCTCCTACCTTATATTTGACATTTTCCTGATCTCCTACAAATCAAAAACAGCACTGTGAACAATACATCAGCAACACACAGAATAAAGATCATGCAGGTTTTACAGCGTGGCCCTTATTATTCTTTTTTATCAGATTTAAGGAGAGACAATTAAAACTCAGATGCCCTACCACCCACCTGTTTAAGGGTACAGGTCACACAAATATGGGAAGAAATGTTTTCAAGTTCACTCAAGTCAAAGATAATAAAGAAACACATATTGCTCCTTTATCAAGAGTTATTCTCTAGAAATTCACATAAAACGTCTGTGATGTTTACTCTCAAAACCCCCAAAAAGATGCCAGAAGGAATTTTGTTGCTCCACCAAAATGCTCTTTTTTAATTCTAAGACAATGTTTCTTCATCCATCTATAAATATTCATCAGAGAGTAAAATTAGAAGCATGTGTGAGGGGGTGTGTGTGTGTGTGTGTGCGTGCAGTATTCTACTTCAAGAAGCAACCATTTATGTGTATGAGAGGCCCCTGCCTGTGTATGTGCGTGTGTTCAGAAGGCTCCCATTGGAATGAATTATTTAGAGGAGAGTCTCTTTTACTTATCCACGGTCGACTGGCCGCGGGCACGTACAGTTCTGCTCCCAACGACACAAGAGACTACCCTAATTCACCATCCACCCTTCTGCAGTATGCCCCTATCTCACCCTCCAACCCCGCTCTTTTCCCAGCATGCTCTAGTGGTCCACTGCAGATGTTCCCTCATCACAGACTTATTTCTTAGTAGACAGGGTTGGGGACAGACTGAGAGGCAACAGACTGAGAGAGGAGAAGGACAGGGGCAAGAATAAGATTTTGTTTCAGGCACAATGTGTTTAAAAATTAAAATTAAAATTAAAATGAAAAAGTACAAAAAAAAAACATGTGAAACATGTAACAAAGTTATTATTTATTTTCAAAAAGTTTAATCACAAAAACCAATCAGATCCTAGAGACACACACACTGTGACAAGTCAACGTGGAGTCCCGCTATCTAGGAGTCAGATGCTAACAGTCGGCGTCAACAGTGAAGAATCATGTAAAATATTCATCCATGTGGCTGGCTTAATAATGTATTATCCCTCAATTTAGCACTCACAGCTTTGCTGTGCTCTGCTTTGCGCAAACTGCCGCCAAGTACTTGAAGTCTAATCATTGAAGAAAGATCCACAGCTTTAAAATATCAAACTTTCACCATCACACATTCAGATTAAAGTGGGTGCAGCTTTCTACAAGCAGCCAAACTACTGTGGAATCTAAAAATTTCACAGAGAAATGTCTTTGTTTGGGAAGAATGGGAGCTTTAGCTTGAATCACATTTTAAAAGAATTCATGTTGGAAAAAAAACATTGGCTTGTTTATCATTTCATTCCCTGTTAAAAGTTTGAAGGGCAGCTCAATAAGTTGAGCCAGTTAGGAAAATATGCATGCATCACACAAATACTATCCAAATATAGCTGGAGTTGCTCATTCTCTGGCTGATCTCTTCATTCTGTGGCAGCTAGGCGCTGATGTGACCCTGTCAGACAGCAGACTGAGACTGATGGGATACTGTGTGTGGCTGTTGTACGGCTGCTGCTGCTGCCACATCTCCATATTTATAACTAGACTCTATCCATCCCATAATCCGCAAGTAGCGAGATCCATGCTGCCAAGTGCACATATGGACTCACATAAACATGCACACTGTCACTATGTCTCTCTCTCTCTCTCTCTCTCTCTCTCTCTGTTTCTCAGTCTCATTTCCTCAGGTGACATGGGTAATCTTCCTCTTCCTCTCTTGAACACACACATGCACACACACGCACACGCTCATTCAGCACTTGCAAGTAAGGATTAAATGTGAGCGGTTGTTGGGAGCCACAGGGTGGGCCAATTCAAAGTCAATCTGACTGGAGGGGGAGAGGGCTGTGCCTTTACCACCCTGGACTTTCAGTGTGTGTGTGTGTGTGTGTGTGTGTGTGTGTGTGTGTGTGTGTGTGTGTGTGTGTCAGTGCTGACAGGCACATTCAGACTCACCCGTGACCTTTGATAGAGGGAGGGAAAGAGGGATAAGTCAGAAAAAGGGGGGAGCTTCAGAGAAAAATGCTTTGCTGTGCTTCTGCTTTGGAGATGCAGTTTGAGCTACTTGGAGTTTTGCTTCACCCAACATGCATCAATATCTGTGACTGTGTCCCAACTGTTTCCTCAAGTGCCACATCAAACTACACTTCCTGTCTGTCCTGAACTCCCCCTGAAACTGCTGGAATTATTATAAAAAATACATTTTCTTAAATATGTTTCCTAAAACAATCGTGTGAAAGCAACGTCAAAAAATACAAAAATATAACATTTTAAAACAATTTGGGGAAGGAGTTCTTCTTAACATATTGCCTCACCCCTTTCTCTCATTACTCCTCCCTCCCTCTGTTCATCTCAGCCAACCTCCAATCTTGTGCATTCCTCCCGAATATCCAACCCCTCCCACAGTCTTTCTCTTTTTTAGTGACCAGTGGCTACAGACTCATTGAGTTATAACTAATACAAGATCATGACCACCTGCCTGCTACAAGCCCTCTTGTAATTGTGAGACCCAGCTGCAGAAGCTGGTGGTGAAGTGTCTTGCTCAAATATGCATTGTGTGTGAGTGATTGAGCAATATTCATTCAGTTCCTCACACACACACATTCAACTCAGAGGAGTTTATCACCGTGAGTTGCACTGCTGCTAATGTTAACACAACCTTTACTTAATAACACAGGTTTCAAAGGGAGATTCAAACAATCATCAAGATGGTTATATAATGAGAGAAACAGACAACAAAATCACCCATCTGTCACCGAAAGAACTTTGGCTCTTGTATTGTTCGCCAAAACTAACACCTCCAGAAGTGAAAGAAGTCCACAATGGAAGTCTGAACAGCAAAATGCTCTTTTCTGTTTATTTGTAATGAGCATGAAATGCTATAGAAGCTCAAGAAAAAGGTAAAATTAAAGTCAAATTTAAATAAATGTGTGTGTTTCTCCTTTAAAAACGACTATTACTGTACCACATAAAATAATCCAACACATGAAATAAATTAATATATTTGCTGAGAATACTGACTAAATATAAAACAATCTTAACTCAATAATTATGCATTTGACCAGACCTGCTCTGAGTCACACAAGAGGAGAAATTAAATTTGACTCTAGTACGAGTAGTTTCATAGTTCATTAACTGTGTGTTGTGATACTGAACAGACAGCAATCTGTAAAGCCTTTACTTTCATACATCTGTTGCGATGTTCTTTGTGTTTTATTGTCATGGCACAATAGGTAAGCTGTTACTGAAGGCTGTTCAATATAAAATATTTTCCTTGATACCTGACGTGAAAAATGTTCCTCCTACAGGTATAGACATTGTATACATTTGATCCGTTTTCTATATATGCATCCATTCATTCATCCAGCCACTTCCAATCTCAGCATCAGCATCAGAAGAAACCCTCATAGATAGAGATTAAATACAGGACTTTCTTTATTTTTAGAAATGATTTGAGTTTTTAATCTACATTGTGCAATTCAAAGACATACATTTACATTGTAAGTTGGCAGTGAAGTTGTGATTTCATGTGCAATGCATAATACTAGTGTGAACACGTGGAAAAAACATCATGTGTGTACAGCCAGAGCCAGTGTCCTTCTCAGAAGCCATGCATAACTCACTTATATTTTACAAATGTATGTACAGGAAAACACAGAAGATTGAAGAGAAAGTGGCAGCCATCAAAATACCTTTACATCACTACATCATACATATCATCACCAGTTGTCAGAAAATACTGAAGAATTTAACTTAATTATAAATTAAAGGGGGGCAAGTGTATTGTCTTTATTGCACTGGCTTACAGTGACAAAGTGCTACAACAAAACACACAAAGGTATTCAGTTTCTTCTTTCTCAGTGATTTGAATCTTAAGGGGTTCTTCTATAATTACTTGACGCTGTTAACATTGTATTAGACTATATAATAACAATGACTGAGTGGCCAATTTTAGTAAGACACACAGAATAGAAATGCAGAGAGGAATGGATACAATGCGAAAACACAAGATGGGTGTGAAGAGATAAGCTGTACAACAGGTCAAAACATGGAGAGAAGAAAAACTGAGAAAAGGAAAGAGAGCAGATGTGATAATCATGTCAGAAGAAACAGTGATGGGGAGGAGGAGACTGGATTGTGTGCACATTGAGAGGGCAAGGCAAAGGAGAAATGGGGAAATGAGGCTAAGTCATGTGAGGAAATAGACAGCTGAGGGCTAGACGTGATGGCAGATGATAGAGAGTCCCAGAGAAGAGCATGAGACAGAAAGAAGAGAGACAAAGAGTCAGAAAAGGAGAAAGAAGACAGCACAGTGTTTGATGTGAAAGAGCTGCAGGAGGATTAATTCCCAACATAATTCAAGCGGGGTACAGAGACAGACAGAAGTAGACAAAAGGGGAGAGAAAGAGACAAGACAAAGACAAGTATCTTAGTTAAAGAAGCTGATGAGTGGCTGGAGGAAGAGTCCCAGTGTTCCCAGCACACACACTGTCACAAAAACCCACAGGAAGATCCTGTCGATTACCATGGCTACGTACTTCCAGTCATCCTCCACCTGATGAAAGGAAAAGAATACAGGTGTGTATGAGTAGAAAAGATAAAAAGTATTATAATGAAGGCAATATGCATTCATAGGCAATAGCACTGTGCTCTCTCACGATCCCTAAAAATACTCCTTTGCTTGGTGGTAATTGTGAAATTTCTAGCAATGGAACAAACCGCCACATTCAGTCGATGTCACTGTGTCAACACTAGCGCTGTGTGCCTATAAGGGCTGTGTGAGTTTATGTGAGTGTGCAAGAGAGGCCGAGAGAAACACCAGTGTTTACTTTCATGCATCTGGCTATCGTTGGAGCAGTTTGTTTTTTTTTGTTGTGTGTGTGTGTGTGTGTGTGTGTGTGTGTGTGTGTGTTTATTCCTTGATCAGTCAGGTGTGGACAATAGGATCATGGCTGCACTGACCGTAATGCCATTGTGTGCCTATGGAGGAGGCAGTATGGCTATTCTGTATGCATCAAAGAAAGATTCCAGCTCTGCTAAGAAAAGATGGAGCTGAAGCAACAAACATATCAGGGCCATCCAGAGTGTGCAGGAGGCGTACGCAAAGCCCCCCATCTGCAACAAACAAGCTGCTTCACACTCCCTTTATAGCCCCATGTAAATGGCTTCTACACCATTTACTAAGCTAGGTAGGGATTCACACACTGCAGAGGTAACTTGCATACATTATAGCTTTGCTGCCATGCGTTTATGTGTGTGTGCTGTCTGGAATCTGGTCCTCACAAGGTTATCCATTTATTTTAGGGTTTTAGGTTGGTTAGTATTGGTTAACCAAACTAATACTAACATGGTTAGTATTAGAGCCAGGTTCAGTTTAGGGTTAGGGTTGGGGTTAGTCATTTAAGCCTCTGTGGTGGCCCTCTAGCTCTGACATGGCCTGGACGTCATGTCTTTTCCTCGTCTTGTACTTGTGTCTCCCCTCAGGTCTTAGAGGTAGGAAGGTAGGCCTTAGGCTGAGTATGTATTAGTGCATTGGGTGCATAGAGGAATGCATTCACCACTGATCTTCTGATTAATCATTTCACATGATTAGTCAGTAAATATGACACCTACAGCAAATACATGTAAGTAAGAACAATGTCCTCATAAGTATAGTAGTTCAAGGTTGTATGTCGATGTGCTATATATGTCTATGCACATGTTTGTAGTTGCAATTTAGGACTTCTTTCACAGCAGAAAATTAGCAATTTCTATCATAAAGGTGAAATCGATAACTTTGTGTTCATGTTGTGTTCAAGATGTCACTTTGTGATATTGGCTCATTAGAAAAGTGTGCAGTAAACATATGAATACAAATATATGATCTACTGATGTGATAAAGTTTTACTGACTTTACAGTCACAACTGCCCCAAAGATACTTAATAGTAATAAGAATTAATTAAGAAATGGCTTTAACACAAAATGTAATCTCACATTCAGGTTTAAATGTTATTTTTCTTACAAATGAAAAGGATTTGAAGAATCTTACTTTTTCAGGAATATTGTTGGTTTTCAATACAGTTTAACTTTGTGAAAGTGACATGATATTGGGAGTGATATCATCCAACAGTACAGAGTAAATCTGCCACCTAATACAAGACAATGCAATTGTTTCACAAAGAAATATTTGAAGAGTAATCCTTGTGTTTCATTAAGCAGACTGCAGTGAGAGGAAGAAGACAGAGGCCTCGACTCACTGCACTCTTGGGGATTTTCAGTGTGAAACTAAATCATGGTTTTACAGTGTTATTAGACTCTCTGCTGAGAGATACGCAGGGTCTTCCATAAGGGAGGAAAATGGGGAAAGCTTTTTGGACCCCAGCCACTAGGGGGGTCCATGGAGGCCAGCCATAATCATTTAACACATGAGTAAAGCATATTTAGGAAAGACACAGTAACACATTACACCTCTGTTGGCGGGCCTTGAGATAGCTAAACTCAAATGGGAAGACACTATCCACTGTTATCCTTTCCAGAGTAAACCATAATTACATTTCTGTAGCTCTATGGATAATTTCTAGACAACTTCTGGTTAAGGTTGGAACAATGCACAAAAGCAGATCATCCCCATTTCTGCATATTTCCGTTATCGATTCATCTGCTGATGTTTTATCTCAATTCATGTTGGTGCTGTAAAATGTATGAAAATAGCTTAAAACGTCACTTTTCCAAAAGCTCAAGATGAGGTCTTGAAATTGTGTGTTTTGTTGGTCCAAGCCAATCAGTTTACTATCATATACAACATAAAAATCTGTATGTATTAAACTATTAAGGAGTTGAAAATACAGGATCTTTGGCATTTGTTCTTGGAAAATGACATAAATGATACATTTAAATATAGTTCAATATTTTCTGTTAATCGACTGAAGTCATCTAATCATTTTAGCTTTACAACACAGACAACTCAAGCTTGATTTGTACCTCTTTGGCTTTGTTACGCGTCCTCATGTTCTCTGCGATGTACTTCACGCTCTCTATGGCCTGCTTGATTTCTGGTGACACCACGGAGAAGGCAACGACAGCGTTGACAGGTGAGGGGGCGTTCATGGGCCTCGGCACCTTGGGCAGCTCTGACTCCTGGGGCCCCTGGGTCTGGGGTGCCTGGGGAGGAGGGGGTGGCACTATTGGAGGAGGAACAGGAGTCGGTACTTCCTTGCCTCTGTAGGGGCACCTCCTGTTCATATCCCGGTTCATGTCACGGTTCATCTCACCGTACTCCACACAGTTCATGGAGCCGCCAGCTGAGGCGGCCCCCCCTCCTCCTGCACCACCATCCAGTGGTGGACACGCTACACCCCCAGTTATACCCCCAACGCTTACGCTCCCTGAGCCACTTCCTCCTCCTATGCTGTTCTTTCTCTTCTTGTTCCCCCCACTGCTCCCTCCTACTCCCGTCCCTCCTGTAATACTGGCAGGGGAGGAGCAGCCCTGGTCGATAGGCCTCCTCATCAGCATTACCCTGGGCAGCACCCCAAGGAACACAGCCCTCACCCACTCTGGCATAGTGTGAGTCATCGGGGTGCGATAGTGGACATTCAACACAAAGACGGTGATGACGATGCTGAGCGTGACAAAAATCATGGTGAAGAGGAGGTACTCGCCGATTAGAGGGATGACAAGTGACGTCGAAGGGATGGTCTCAGTGATGACCAGGAGGAACACAGTGAGGGAGAGAAGGACGGAGATACACAGGGTGACCTTCTCGCCACAGTCAGACGGGAGGTAGAAGACCAGCACTGTTAGGAAGGAGATGAGGAGGCAGGGGATGATGAGGTTGATGGTGTAAAAGAGAGGCAGGCGGCGGATGTAGAAGGAGTAGGTGATGTCCGGGTAGATCTCCTCGCAGCAGTTGTACTTGATGTCATGCTTGTATCCTGGTGCATCGATGATCTCCCACTCTCCACTTTCCCAGAAGTCTTTAAGGTTCACCTGATGAAATGAAAATGTGATGTAAATGATGATAAAGATCCCCTCCGAACATATATTAACACACATCTATAAGATGGTCTGCTTTAAACAATAATGTTTATCTGATATGTGTTTTACACAAAATAATATAATTTATATATTAAAATCCTTAAAAAGGCATCCAACCTTCTACTTCATTCAAAATTAGCAAATCTATGAATATGCTAAGTTTGTTTATTTCTAAAGTTTTCCTGCTAGACACAAGATGTCTCCGACTTCACTGTATAAACTAATAACTCCATTCTTAGAGTAGGTGCACTGGAGGCTACATCACACTTGTATAAGTTGCATACTGAACCAGAATTGACTTCCAAACTATTTGCGATGTCACAAATCATGCTCGTAGGCCCCGCCCCTTAAAATCCCATTTTCAATGAGCACAGAGAAACTTTCCACTTTCAGGAGATAAATGTGAAAACATCCTTCTAGTGTCAAACTCAGCACATACAAGGAACAAGAAGGAAAGCATATTTTGAGTGGATAAGAGCGCATAAAAAAGGTAAAATAAAAAAGACTCAGTACTGAATTGTTCCTGCTAATATTTCTATAATTTCAAAGTTCTCACAAAAAAAAAGTGTTTCAAACATGACATGAGGAATAAAACTGCACAACTGCGAGACCCGGACAGTCTCTGACCTTTGAGCCAATGAGCACCAGGTCGATCTTGGCCTTGTCGTAGGTCCAGGAGCCAAACTTCATAGAGCAGTTCTGGTAGTCAAAGGGGAAGTAGGTGATGTCCATGGGGCAGGAGGATTTGAAAATAGCCGGTGGAACCCAGGTGATGGTGCCATCAAACTTCAACAGAGCCTTGGTCTTGTCTTCCACGAGGAAGTCACCTACAGCACTGCGAGAGAGTATTTTCAAGGAGATGTAAATGTCATTTCACTTAAAGGCCATTACAACATTTAATTCAAAAGGTCAGAAGATGTGGAGCATAAATAAATAACATTAGCATACAGCAGCTTGAGGGATAACCACATAAAAGACCACACCATGATACTAATAAAGTCTGCTGTAACATCAAAGATCCTATAGAAACATGCAAGATTCTTCTTTCGCATTTGTACACTAAAACTTACTTGTTGTACAAAACGATGTCTGGCCTCCAAATTTTATTGGATGGAACTCGTATGAACTCAATCCCATCGTACTCAACAGGGGCCCATTTCAGTTTGTAGTCGTTCCAGACCTAAAAGACAGACATACTTAGCATAACTCATTGAAAACAAACAATCAAAAAGACATCACATAAAGGATAAATGTCACTCACATGTCTCAGCCACAAATTGGTTTCCATAATCTGATTTACCTCATCCTGTATGGACAAAAACAGTGAATTAGTCAGCAAGAGAAAGGGAACTTTGATGAATGGATAGCGCATAAACTTTTTATAAAATACTTTTTTTCACATGAGACAATTAGTTGTTCACTCTCTACTCTTACCACTTTGACTAGCTGAGATATGGAGACCTCAAACTCCACTGTGACTGGATCAGATACATTCTCCACTGGCCGGATGAACTGGTTGTACCTCCTGAACAACCTCCGAAATAATCTGTCCTCCCCTTTAGATGAAAAACAGCCTAAAGAACCAAAGAAGAAATGGAAGAAGAACAGTCAATGTTTTTTCTTCTGAAATGTATTTTTGTGTATTTTGAAAATGATTGTCCCTGAAAGGAGATGTTGAAGGTCAGTTCGCAGACTGAACAGGTTAAATTATTTATAATCTAAACAGTTTTACATGGCCTTGTGTGCCACTCTAGGTGTCGTGTCAACAGTTTTACAACAGCAGTATATGGACACATTGCTCTCTTCTTCTGTCATTGCAATACCATGGTTAGACAGTACCCAGAGATCCTGCTTCCACAGAGACCCCAAATACTCCTTTATCCTTATTTAAGGGTGGCTGTGGCTCAGAGGCAGAGTGGGTCGTTCCTTAATCGGAAGGTTGTGGGTTTGATCCCCGGCTCCTGGTGCCACATGTCGAAGTATCCTTGAGCAAGATACTGAACCCCAAATTGCTCCCAATGCCATGCATCGGTGTGTGAATGTGTATGAATGTTAGTTTCTGTTCGATGGACTTTGCAATCAATGTGTGTGAAAGGGTGAATGTGGCAGGTAATGTAAAAAAAAGCATTTTGAGTGGTCGGAAGACTAGAAAGGCGCTATACAAGTACAGGTCCATTTACCATTTAACTGTTTAATCAATGTATCTTTGCTCTGGATGGAGCAAAGGCTGTGAGAGATCAAAGTGTGTACTGAGAGGCATTTCAATTGCTTGTTTATGGAGAGAAGGAAAAGCCTGCAAGCTTTCAGGAAATCTCCAAACACCAGATGCTTTAAAAAAAAAGAATGGTGTGCTGTTGGCCAGTGTGTCTGGAGTGTGTGCTGACTATGTGAGGCTGGACTGAAGGTCATATTGTGGGAAAACTGCCACAAGTAACACTGGTGCCTGGGATGGCACAGAGATCCATGCCTGTCCAAGCAGAAAATGTTGCCTCTCTTGGGACAGCACACACTCACACCACCTGCACAACCTCAGAAACAATGTGCCAGTGGCTCCAATTAGCTCCAAATCCTTTAAACCACAACATGGAAATTCACAATCTCTCTTCTTTAAACATCCTCTGTATCTTCATCTCAATCTCTTCATCTCATCTTTCCTTTGCCATGTTCTTCTATGTTTAATTCCCCAAACAGCCTCCTTTCTCTTTTACCCTTTTCTTCTCAGTACAGGGCAACATTGGTAGGCAGTCTTACTGTTCATGGATTTTGAACTGATGGATTAATTTTGTTCAGACACAAACATTGAGGCAAATAACAAAAAATGGAAAAACTTTTTTTTTAAAGCAGACGCCAACCTCTCCCATCATAGCTTCTAATCCAAGAAGTGGCATTATTCAACCCAGTCTCAAACCATCAAACTTGCACTTACCAAGCTGCCTGAACCTTTTCAGGGACGGAGGAGAATGTGCTTCACCAAAGGGGCAAATGGAGCACAACCCATATACACACAAATAGCTACATTCACCGAAAAGGTTTGTTTCCTTGACAACAGCTAAATAAAACATGGTCCTTTAATGGGACACTTTTTTCTGTCCGTTTAACTCTGTACAAACCAGAAGCATGTAAAACTGCTTCACAACCTTACTTTGAATTCTTTCCTGTCAATATACTCTTCGTCATCTTCAGAGATATCATATCTTAATAATTTGTAAGTCATGTCTTGTCATAGTGGCACTATTGGGGGAGGGACAGGAGTCAGTACTTCCTTGCCTGTGTAGGGGCACCTCCTGTTCATATCCCGGTTCATGTCACGGTTCATCTCACCGTACTCCACACAGTTCATGGAGCCGCCAGCTGAGGCGGCCCCCCCTCCTCCTGCACCACCATCCAGTGGTGGACACGCTACACCCCCAGTTACAACGAGGGACAACCACTGAAATACTGTGTACTAGGTTACATACCTAGTAGATTCGTAACTACAAATTTGCCATGGAGTTTTTAACAAAGAAAATCAGCGATCTACCACAAAATGATGAAAATATGAATTAAATATATAGACTGCAATGGTTTATTGCAGACTACTAAACTAGCTGACCTAAGCTAGCATGACTGGAGTGTTAAGCAGTAGATTGTTGTTGTTGGTTGTGGAAAACGAAAAGAGGCCAGCAACAGAATAACTATATTGTATGTTTTTTGTTGCTAGGACCTCCTCCATTACCCAAGGGTGTTAACTTCATTTTAATTTACAATATGTTATCGTCTCTTACACTGCCATAAGACGTAATAAATTCATATGCCTTGAATAAAAACAGACTTTCAGTGGGGATGGTACCTTTCATAAAACACATTTGTTTTTCATATTCACTGTCCATACAGTAAAGTCATAAAGCACTTTGTCCATGTATTGCCATTGGGAGTACACATAGATAAATATCTTGCAGACATGTCTGATTACAGTCTGTCTGGTTTCTTATTGCGAACATAAAGTAATTGATGTTTATCCCAAGTTAGTTTATTTGAGGGGTTTTTTTTATCTGAAGTATGTTAGAGTCTAACAGATGACACAGAAACATGCTTTTCATGCCCTTTTACATTTTACACATTTTAACAACAATTTTAAATTCCCCTCACAAAGGACTAACAAAGCTCAGGGGTAAACCCAGCCTACTGAGATAAAAATTTAAAAAACAGTTATATAAGCACAACATCTGGTGCACATAAAACAACACAAACATAAAGGTCAATATAAAAACATGAACAGAATGCTGTAGTATTCTTGTGCTTTCTCGTCTCACAGGTTCTCCTGGATCCTGGTGGAGCCTCCTGCCATAGTCCTGCTTGACTGCCATTGCTAATATCACTGATATTAGTGTTATCATTATTATAAGTATTATTATAACTACGGTTACTGGTGTTGCTGTTGTCACTGCTCATTGTCCCCCATCGTTGCTATTGTAATGTCCATCATCATCAGTCACTACTATTAGTGTAGTTGTTGCTGCTGTTATTGCTGTGCACCTGTCTGTCTGTCTGTCTGTCTGTGTGTCTCTCTCTCTCTCTCTCTCACCCCAACTGGTCGAGGCAGACGACCACCCACCTAGAGCCGAAGGGTCTGTCCTAGGTTTCTGCCTTTTAACAGGCAGTTTTTCCTTGCCTCCGTTGCCAAGTGCTTGCTCATGGTGGTACTGTTGGGTCTCTGTAAAATAATGTTACAAGGAGTTCGGTCTAGACCTGCTCTATTTGAAAAGTGTCCTGAGATAACTTCTGTTATGAATTGGCGCTATACACATAAAATTGAATTCAATTGAATTCAATTGAATGGTACAAGAGAGTATATGCAGTGTCTTCATTTATCTCATATATTGATATATATGATTGAGTCAAAATCTTTATCACTCTGTCCCCTAAAATTAAGGTGGAGTGTAAGTCTCACTAAATTTCAAGTTCAAATACACATAGAAAGGGGTGCAAACCAGTGGAGGCATAAGCTGTTCAACAATCCACTGAGATAAATGAAAATCAGGTCGCAATCATGTTCATTCACCCAAACATTTTCCACTGCTTAGTTTTGTTGTTAGTCTCTGTTCAACATGCAAAATTATCCTAAGACGTTAAAGGTTCAGTGTGTAATATATTCTACAGAAGCCCAAAACGGACAAACCAAACACCGGCACAAGGTCGGGCCTTTCACGTTCACCGCGGTTTCTTGGAGGGCATAGGGTTATTCAACTGGTTGCAATCTACAACCCCACTCAATGCCACTAAATCCTAAACACTGGTCCTTTAACCAACTAAAAACAAATAAAAACCTGTCAGGTCTAGTTCCAGTACTCAGTGGGTAAAAACTGACATTATACTTCAAAACTCTCACGAAGTACTCTGAGGTCATTGGCATAGAAGAGTTGAGTCTTAAAGCTTAATGAAAAGGCCTCTCTCCTGAGACGCTTGTGTAATTTCAGCTCTTGGTACCTGCCTTGAAACTGGTCGCTGCTCTCTGATTTGCTGCACTAACAGAACCTTGTTTAAGCCTCTAATTGGGTGAGGGGAACCCAGGGCAATTATAATCAGTCAATTAATTGGAGCTTTTGTTCACTGTGACAAAAAAAAAATTAAGCCAATATTTTTTTTTTCCTCTGCTGGCACAGTCACTCCCATAATTCCCTTCTTTGTTCTGCAACTGAAGATCTTAAGTAGCCTTAATTTAAAGGAAGTTAATTACAACCTTTGCCCTTCCACCTTCATTTTGTGAACTATTGTTAATGCTCGTAAGGGATGTATCCCTGGTATTTAAAGTAAGGATTTAATTTGTGCGGCACAGAGAGCAAGAGTGTGCATGTGAAAGTAACAGGCAATGAGTGATAAAACTATATTACAGTATGATTAAGATCACATTCAATTAGCACTAATTATAAAGTACAGATGAGGCTGATGGGAATGTCTATAGTTTTGCAGTCATAAAGAAAAGTACTGGACTAGTTAAAATTCATCTTCCGGGGACCATGAATGTCTGTGCCAAATTTCATAACAATCCATCTTGTAGTTGTTGTAATATTTCAATCTGGGCCAAAGTGGTGAACTGACCAACATTGCTATCCCTAGAGCAGCTGCTAGCATAGCTAAAAATATACCATCACGACTGTCACAAATGTCTCCAGAAGTCATTTCCGACTAAATGTGTCTTGTATCAGTTCCCTTGTTTCAAGCTTTAGAATAAATGATTGTAGACAGAACTGTTGTTGCTTCTGATAATGAAAATCATGTGAAATCAGCTTGACAGTCATGTTTCATTTCATCACCAGACATGTGCTCCTCCCTTCCCCGCTTTGTGATGCTGTAACTAAGTGATGAGGCTTTGTTCTGATGCAGATGAAGCCAAGTCCAGCAGTCATGCATTTCACCCTTAAATAGCCACATTGATTTAGAATTGGGTTAAACAGTGAGTTAATCTCGCGGCTCAGGAGCCCTTAAGCTGCAGATAGACCAGTGGCCTGTGAGAGGCTCTTTGATCAGGCATGTGCTTAACAGGATGAGCCTGGTGGACACTGAAGGAACTAATTACCCTCCAATAATGCACTGC